GTGGGCAGAGGGGCAGAGGCCTCTCCCACTGACCAACACCAGCCCCAGAGTTCACTCAGTAATAACTCAGCCTGTAGGCGAGTCAGCTCCGATCCCTGTCAGGCTGTCTCTTGACCTTCCTAATCACGTCTGCAAAAATGGACAAATGGTTCCCTGGCAAGAGCTAAGGGTGCCCGGAGTAGGGGCCTCTCACTAGGAGGCCAAGGGCTGTTCCCTTTACCACACTCCCTCCACCCCCACCTGCCTGCCTACCAGCCACAGATCATTGACTGTCCAGTGAGAATTTTAACAATTCCTGTTCTGCATCCCCCCAGCCCCACCCCTACCCCCAGAGGTGACTTGTAGGATGACCTACTGAGGCTGGAACAGCCAGAATTCAGATGCTGAGTGGGGAACGAGCAATCAGCTCTCCTGCAAGGGTGTAGCCTCTGAGACCTCTGGGAGGCTTACCTTGGTAACTTAGGAAAGGCTCACAGGCCCCAGAGAAGAGGTATCTTGTAGAGCAGGGGTAGGGAACCTTTCTTCTGCCAAGGGCCATTTGGATATTTATAACATCACTGGCAGGCCATACAAAATTATCAACTTAAAACATTAGCCTGCTATATTTGGTCGAACATTTAATTAACTTACCCTTAATGCCTTGAGAGGGCCAGACCAAATGATTTCACAGGCTTCATACAGCCCAAGGGTCAGATATTCCCCACCCTGCTTTTCTCTCCCTATCTCATTTTCTCAGATTTTCAAGACAGGAAAGGACCTCATAGGAATGGCCACCAGCCTCCTCCTAGAACAGAATCTCCTGATGGCATTCCAACCTTCAACACAGGGAGGCTGCCTGTGGAAGCATTCAGGGTTCAAAGGCCCTTTTCTTGAGCTGAATTCTACCTCTTCACAACCCCACTGGCTGATTCCCTTTGAGTCCCTTGAAGGACCCTGAGCCCTGCCCCATAATGACTCCAGAAGTTAATTTTCCCTCTAGCTACTCAGAGTGGTACAGCCCAGAGAGCTTAGCTGCCACCATGTGCCACATCTCTCAGATCTGCCAGTTCTCTCTCTGGTCACAGTATAGTCTACATGACCCTATGCTCACTAATCCCAACCCTAACCTCTTGGGTCAAAGGTGTTTAAACTGGAACTGGGAGGCTTCCTTTCAGTCACCGTCACTATCTTATCTTGGGGCTCCATGACCAGCTGGACTGCTGAGACTAACTGTCCCCTCCAAGCACGCCTCTGAATGAGGGAGCACTGCCCCACCACAAGAGCTAAGGAATATGGGCAACCCCTGAGCATGTTTCTTCATCTCTAAAACAGTAGAAGAATCATGTAGGGGCAGCACATGCTCAACTGAGACAGCTAGGATAAGCACTTCGCAGCTACAGCTCACCTGGCATGGTCCAAGCACTCCACCACCTTGCCAAAGGTGCCTTCGCCCAGGTTCCCCACAATCTCATCTAGGAGAGAAAAGAAGCAGAGCGTGAAGGACTGGAGGGCAGAGGGTCGGCAGCTCCTGCAAGTTCACAGCATTCAAATTTTCAAAAACAAAAAAGGTTTCTCTCTCACTGCTACACTCTTAAAAACAGAAGTTGCTAGTGTTTGTGTCATTCAGGCAATTACTGGTGGCCCCACTAAGGCACCACGCGCACTAGAGGCCCCTCCGGGCAGGAGAGGTCTGGTCTAACAAGGGGGTAGAAAGTAGAGAGGTAAAGTTTTACGAAAGGTGGCTGTACATCGCTCTTGGAGCCAATCGCCGATCCGGCACACCAGGTGGCCCTCCTTGTCATCTTCCACACTCCGGCTGCTGCGCTTACTGCTCTGTTGGCTTCTCTGCATGCACCGCCCCCCGAAACGCCATCCGACCAATCGCATGGTAGGCGGTTCCGATTGACAGATTGAGGTGTCAGTCAAAGGCAGAGGTGGAGACGGTGAGGAGCCGGTGGGTTGGTTGGTTGGATTTTCCAGATCCCAGCATTTCATAAGGCACACAGCATATATAACGATAGGGATATTGCAAGGGACACGTCAAGACACAAACTGACTTCAAAAACAGAAAAGTAAAAACAGCTACAGGTATGTAAAGACAACTTGGATGCTCAGAAAGATGACCAGCCTCTGCTGCTGAGGGGCCGGGCTATGCGGAGAGCCACAGCCTTGACACCCTTCTCTACTAAGTGTTCCCCTCCCAGACCCTCCCAGTATGCTTCGGCCAGGGTGGAGACGCAGTGAAAACGACGCAAGAGTGTGGCTGTCCCAAGCCTTGGTCCATTATCCAGAATGGTCGGAAGCCACGCTGGCTTCAGCTGCAGAATGCCCAGCTTGTCTTTGCCTGCCTCTCTCTTGCCCACACAGCCCTGCACATACTTGACAGCTGCCACTCAGAGCCAAGCTACTACAGGCCTCCAGACAGCATCCATGGCCACAGCACATAACCTTGGAGACACACAACAGGCTTTCCTTCCCAGAGGTGTGATTACAGTGTGGGCTCCTGGTCTCAGCAGAGATCTATACAACCTTGCACACTAGAAACACCACCAGGCCCTGTTCCTGGCAAGTGGCCTGCAACTGGACAAGGCCTAGAGCTGTAGGCCTTTCTGTCATTTCTTTACATGTCGCATCACACAGGCAGCTCATCCCTCGTCTTGACTGCCTCTCATGCGAAGAGGCTAGGACAGTGATGGCGAACCTTTTGCACGCGTGTCAGAGGTGACATGCAAACTCATTTTTTTGGTTGATTTTTCTTTGTTAAATGGCATTTAAATATATAAAATAACTATCAAAAATATAAATCTTTTTTTTACTATGGTTGCAAGTATCAAAAAAAAAAAAAAAATGACACGGCACCAGAGTTAATTT